GATTCTCATTAATTCAAATTCACATGAAGGGCTGCCGTACGGTACGTATCTTCCTCTAACCTCTTCACAGTACGCTGAACTCTTTCTAGCGAAGTACAGACATCGCATTTGATTATAATGCAGGTTTGCCGGCATCTGGTTTCCTAAGCGGCACTTGAGGCCAGATGATGTGAGACCTTCCATTTGTATATTTATGTATGGTTTTATATGACGATGCTGAGATTAAATTCAAAACATTCATGGGATTGTTTTCAGGAAGAATACCTGTGAAACATCATAACTGATAAACAAATTGACTAGCTGAAGAAAGGCAACTGCCCACATTTTCCAGCTATGAAAACGCTCAAAATTACCTAAAAAGCAAAATTATTGTTATTTTCCCAGTGTTGGAGTAATGATTGATATTTCCCGTAATAAAACAAGTTTAGAGTAAACAATGTAATAAACTCACGTTCAGGAAAGGTGCAGTTATGGTTGAATGGCGTATTCTTCACTAGCTGTACTCTCTTCATCTCTGAATACCCCAATCTGCTTTTACCCACTTCCAAGTTCAGTAACCTAGTTGAGGTTCCTTCCATGACACTCGCTCTATGAAACTGTCCTTCACAACTTTCCTACGTCGAATGAAAGCATTTTTCTGAATTTTCCACTGGGGGGTAGTTTGCTTTCAACATTTAACTCGACTTGCAGGATCGATTTGTATGACGTAAGCAATTGCTTATATTTTCGAAAGTTGGAATAATGGATAATGTCAGAATGTTAAGAAATACGATTTTCAGTTTGATCCCCCTGGAATATTTAAATCCATGTTAGGAAATTTATAACAAAAAAAACTGTTGTATTTAGTATGCATATCACGACATATGTACATTCTATGCACGCTTTCTGGTTCGGTGGCCAGGTGGATCAGATGCTTTGATATTATGTTTGGCGGCCATGTTTTGACATTAACGTCTGCTAGTGATCAAAGATTACATGACAGTAAAGTTCCGCTTTAGATTTTAAGTTACAGATGTGGAGTGAAGAAACCATGGCTCGCATCGGCCTTTTCTCCGGCCCCCGGACCAGTCATGGAAAATTTATATCAGGCTGCAGCATCCTTTAAAATAAAACAATAAAAGAAAAGTTTGCCACGCTAAATTGTAACGTCAGATGGTTAACTCGACACGAAATGCATCTTACGATTGAAAGCAGCTGCAACGTAAAAGCGGAAGCGTTTTGATAATGGTCACACTCCATGTGCAGTTTAAATTCGGCCGTCAGTTGTCAGGAGTCCGCACTCAACAATTAACAGAGATGGAATAAAGACAGTGGAAGCTTTATTTACGGTGTGAGCGAGATTATCAGCTGGTAGGAGACAGTTGGACGTTTTTGTTCGGGTGAAATACGTGGTTCCGAATCGGTGTCGGTTGAACGCGATGAAGTAATATAAATATTCTAATATAAATAAATATGAATAATTACAAATTTTCCTCGTCGTATAACCATCGAAGTGTAAAATGAGCGAGTACAAGAAAGCAACGATAAATAGACAGTGAATGCGGAGACTACACAAAGGGTACGAAGAACAGTAAATGCAACCCTATACCAAAACGGGAAGAACATTTTGCCACTTTGTCTTTGGATGCAAGAACAAGGAAAGTCAAACGGTTTCTGTCTCTCTGTCTACGGCTGTACAGTTCTTTGTTGGACCTTGGCCGCTTTTCAGTTTGTTGGACCTTGGCCACTTTTCAGTTTATTAATCCTATACACAGTCGGTAGGACTCCCTGGACGGGGGATCGGTCCATCGCAAGGCCGCTACCTGCACACAAGACAGCACAAACACAAAATAAACGCAGAGACATCCATGCTTTGGGTGGTGCTAAATTTACTGAAGTCTAGTCTAAATATTTTCAACCCCAAATCTGTCAGTTATAGTTCGTAGTATCGCTACGCCACCTTTTTGTAAATAACAAGTCTCGTGCAAAATATATGTTTATGTTGTCTTCATTACGAAAACTGCGAGAAATTCAAAATTCCATCAGCAAGGGGGAAATAAATTGCTGCGAATCAGAAAGCAAATAATTTTGGTTTCTCCCTATGCATTTTTCTGAACTCTACTAATGCCTGTCCGTCTCTACCCACTTTAAAATTTATAATCGATATACTTAGCTGCGAAATTTGATAATCATTAATGAAGAGAGCAATGCTATACGTGGTTTACTCAAGGGCAATATTAGTTACGATATGTTTTGTGATATAAAGAAAGGATTCACGTCACTTTCATCAAAAGATGACATCCAATAATAATGGAAATAAAATAACTGGTAAATAAATACCTATGTAAACTCTGTAAGATGTTCCATTCGTATCACTTCAATGGATATGGTGCTACGAATGTTTTTTAGGTCATAGGGTTATTAGAACATAACGAAATTAATTTGATAATATAAATATTCAGACACAATGCGAAATAATAGACATTTCTGGGACTAATTTTCTTATATCGCATTAGAATTATTTGCAGTTTCTTCATATGACACGTTGTCATATTTAGACCAGCTCCGCCTCGGTTAATTTCTTTATCGCAATATATAGTAGCTAAAACAAATTAATTATTTCAAATTACTTATTTAATACGAAAAAGAAAGGGTGAAAATGAGGATTTGAATTGTGTAAAAAAAATTGAACCGCAATAATCGTGCGTCGCCTTTGACAGTCATCGTACAGTGCGTATTTCCAAGAGTGCGGGGTGAATTTTATATCTGAGCGTTCTCTATTAGGTCCGCCTTAGGGAACAGACCTAAACCGACAGAAGCATTACATTTTTATAAGTATATAGTTATGTGATGTCTAATCCCTCGGAATTGTAAATAAATGACGCTGACAGCGAGTGATATTAATACTTGTTTCTTTAACTGCTTAGATTTCCAATTAGCTAGAAATTTAAGGGCATGTTCAGGGAGGAGCGGCAAGACGGTCGCCCCGCGGCGTCCAAGAAACTCAAATGGAATCCACACATTTTATTGAGATATTTGCTGCTCAAAAATCACGAAATTGATTTGTATTTTTGGTTATTATAAGAAGTTACAATAAAAGAGAACAAATTGTAATTACTTAAATTTGTAGAGACCCCCACAGCTGTAAATCCTGCCCTGGAGATGTCTTCTAATGACATTAACTAAGTGTGTTTCAATGATCAAACGAAATTGTATGCTGATACCTTAAATTATTCATTTTAAATGTTCATTCAGAAGCATAAATGGAAAATGAACTCAGGCGAGAAATAAGTATTAGAGTTCTTTTATGGATGGAGGAAATATTCAGCATCAAGCGTTTCATTCACTGGTTGGGTTTCCTAGTTGTGTAGTGAATTTCAAAATACATATCTCAATTCATGCGTTATTTTTCACGTTCGTTTTCGGGAAGAAAGAAACCTACTGCTTGTTGAATTCTGTTATATCTTTCGGAACAGTTCTCATTAGCTGTTCAGACTCTTTGTCTTATATTGTCACTGCCTTATGTGGCAAAATTACAACTATAATTAATCAGTCTGCGAGGTAAAATGTAGGAAACAGAACGTGATGTCATTGTGCACAGGATGTGTTTCTCTACATATCTAATGGTGAATCTCATATGTGATATATAAAAATGGGCAAATCCCATACATTCCCCCTGAAATATTGTTCTGTAACCATCAGAGGAAACGACTGCTGCCTTGATAGCTATTGTGAAACTTCCCATGTGATTAATACTAATATACTGATAACAAACTGTCAAGGACTGTGCTTTTTTTTGACGTCAAAATGAATGGTAAGTTGACACACCTTATGGGGAAGTTGTATGTACCCTGTTGATGCAACATGGGCACAGATAACTACTTATTAATTCTGTATCAAAAGTTGGGCAACTTAAATGCTATGTAGTGAATAAACGAGGTCCACAAAAGGAAATGAAGAGAAGGAATTTTACCATTCTAGGAGCATGATTATGAATGATCCAGGATAGGTTAGCACAGGCTGGACTTGGGTTCAATTCCTGGTGTGGGTAGGGATTTTTCATCACATCCAGCCAGTTAGACTTGTATCAAGTGGCTACCACAGGATTATTCACTGAAGGCAAAGTAGTCAGGGCAAGAAGCTAAAGTGCTGCAGTTAAGAATGCATGGAGCTATACCTCAATCAAAGGGTTGTATCTTCTGGGATGTACACCATGTAGTCTGATGAAAGTCAACCGAATGCAGCAGTAAACAGAACTCTGCTTGCTGTCTACTTCATGTTGGTTTCTTGCTTGGTGTACTCTTCCACTCTGAAGATGGAGACGTTTTCCTCAAAAATATCGGCTTTCATCAGACTACTTAGCATTAAATCCCAGAAGTCAAGACTATTCATAGCCTCTGCTGTGAGACCCTCAAATTCAAAATATACCTCTCACCCCCTAAGTCTTAACAGTGTATCATTTAATTAAGCACAGGAAGAACCTGTACGATTACATAAGCCCCCCCCCCTCCAGTTTTCATATGTTAATCAAGGGCCTCTTCATAAACTAAGTTCAGTATACACGTAACCTAGTGCATCATTGTAATAATAAGAATGTTTGGCCGACATCTGCTTCTCTCTGGAAACACCATTTTTTAGGGTGCTGTATTCCTTTGTTATATTAATTTTGTGGCAGTTAGACTATTTTCACTCTCGCTAAGCTGAATTTTAATTAACAGTAGTGCCTTCAATTTCAGGGCTAAAGACTAAGATAAGCAAGCAGCACCTTATATCTCACCTCTCTTCTGTCCCTTATTGAAGAAGAAACAAAATATAATCTCTCCTCTCAGCCATTACACATGAATGCTGGCACTTTTCAGGGGGGAAAAATATCAGGAGATTCAAACTGAATTAAAGGTGGACAACTTACAGATTTGTGTTGTTTTATGGAATTAGTTAAGTATGTAAGTTTTTCCTCTTTCGGTAACAACTTCTTGCCTCTAAGCATCAGTTACAGTACAAGAGTATGTTTCCTCTTTCAGTTTCAGCAGGCATTATCATGATAGAGTATGGTCTGATCCCAACTGTACAGACAGGCTTCTACTGTGATGACCCAAAGATTTCCCACAAATTCAGAGGGGACACCATTTCCATCACAACATTACTCTGTTTCACCATTCTGGCTCCTTTCATTGGGGTAAGTTAAAAGTCAGTACTGGAGCAGCTTCATGATACACAAGACACAAACACCACTGAATTTTCACTGACACCATCTAATAACAATTGAACACCTCAACCCTGTACCTTATAATCCTTCAATTCTTTTTACTGTCTACCTATCTGATTCTCTTATTTTCTTTTCTGGTTCTGTTAATGATTTACCTGATGCTATTTGCAATTCTTCTCAGTCAACTGTATATAGTCATTTTAGTAGTAGACATTATCATGAATATTTATTATGATCATAATGATTTCATCTACTGTCAAATTCCATATGTGACATATCAAAGCCGTATATTACAACTAAATCACTTGAGAGGAAATGAAGAAAAAATGATGAGTAAAATCAACACATTAAATTACATTCCAGAAACACCTGACATCATTAGCCAATAGTGCTCAATATCACACACAATTAGCTAAACGTTTGACAAAGATGTGATACATGGTAGTCTTGAAAATCAGACACCCTTGAAACTAACTTACATTCTCAAAATAAGTTGATACATGATTCAATGACAAATCAGGTTCACTGGTAATACTCGTACATACATTGACATTAATGTTTCTGCATAGTAAGGGATGAATGAAAGATAACAACACAAGACATTCTAGGAAGAACTAATCACCTACTTATCTTTGATATGACATAGACTGCATAGTACAAAATGATACGTTCAACAATTCTTATATTGTCACATGCATATTCGTTGCCACAGTGAAGTTTTCACAGAGCACAGCCATTGCCTAGCACTGATAGGGGATACAAATACAGACCGACTGATGGGAGGGATGTATGAAGTACACTGTTGAGATGGGCTCATGTGCTGTGACCAACTGTGACATACATATCAAGTTTCATAAGTTGATGGGGGATATGCAGACATACAGAGAGCATAGTGATCACATAAGCCTACTTTTATTGTATAAAAATAAGGCAAGTACCGTAATTTTACCTAAAAATGAAAGTACAGCACTTGTTTGACTGCAAAAGACAGATGCAAACAGGTCACTCACATTAGTACAATATAACAAAATGATAAAAATGAAAAGACTGCACGCTACATTATAAAAGTTGTAAATCTGGCATGGAATTATATCGAATAAATGGTGACTGAAATGATGGTGCATCAGTACACAGACCCTACATGATTAATGCATTCTGAAGTTACACATTTAATGTTTCCAGTTATATTATTGAAAGATTAACATTCCAGGTTTTTAAACTCTTCTGTCACTTGCAAAAACTGATTGCAAATTAAATAGTTGGCACAGTGTTCTGTAATTTAATTGTACTGAAAAATTATACATACTGACCTTTGGATCTGAAAATATTTACTTTTACTCTATTATTTATGTCTCAGTATAGTAAATATTTTCAAAATACTGTGCTTCTCATTAAGTTCTGTAATATGAATTTTGATACAGCCCACAAAGAATCCATAAGTTTTTGAAAGAAATTCAATTAATCAGAAAATAATTTTTAACATAAGTCAGCTGTCAGAGTAAATTTATTAAGGAAAATGGACAGGTTATGTATCATAGCTTGGTATTAAATTTGAGTTCATGACAATCCGGAATCATAAATCTAAAAAAATCAAAATTGGGGACACTGAAGAAATCTTCATAAATATTCGTATCAGGAGTGTATGATATTATAGAAACTGACAATTTCTCACATGGGCATTCCCCATAGCATGAATAGAGGAACTGCAGGATTTTGTATGCCATAAATAAAAGAGTTCCAGGATGTGTTATCACTTCACTCTAAGCTGAAAATAAATATTACAAAAATCATTGAAAGAGAATAAAAACTCTCTGCATATGACAAATAAGAATTTTATTTGAAAGAGCACAAAGATTTGGCCTTTTCTTGTGACTGTAAGAACAACAAAACCTTACAACTCACTGTAAATATCACTTTCTTCAGTGAATTGCCTACTCAGGTGCATGATTAACTTTTTTGTCACTGATATATCACAATATTTTATTTATAACCCACATCACATACTACTAAACATAGGTATTGTGTACTGCTAAGATTAATACACTATTCCATGCAGTGAAAACATTAATGTAAAATTAATTGGTTTGACAGTTATGGGTGATTGAATCCTGCTGTTATTCAATTGATGACTATGACGTCAGCAAGTCTGCTAAGCACCGAAGCTTGAGTGGAGCAAGACAGGCATGTTATTGGTACTGGGAGTTCTTTGTTGGCCTTGTTATGGTTCTTGTTGTGACAGAAGTTGCCAAGACACTGGTGGGTGAGCCCAGACCACATTTTCTTGACACCTGCCGTCCTGACTTGGTTAGAAACTGTACAGAAACGTGAGTAAGAAATTATAATATCACAAATCATAATTCAATTTTAATGCAGGTAAATGAATCCGTAATAACCGTATTACAGTGTATCTTCAAGGGCAGTAATCTGTACCCTTGTGATAATCATATTCCAGCTGAAATAACATTGTTTTATAGTTTTGAGATCCTGAAATTAAATAAATTCCATTGGATTCTTAGAGTACTTGGAAACAATATGAGAACAAAAAACTAATTTCTTCTTGTGCAGAGACAATATCAGGTATTCCGTAAATTCACAGATTTTGTATGAATCGCTGTAAACATTGGGTCTCTACATCCACTCCGCCATATGCCTTCATGGCATAGTGCCTAATTAGTTAAGCACAGGAACAACTTTACCTTTTAACTTTTACCAATGTAAACATAACAGTGGACTCAAGTTTAGATTCTAAGGAAAATAATTCACAGTATGTTTTTGGTAAAAGAAGATAAAAATTTATGTGAGTAGGGATGCCAGTTATATGAGTATAGTTGGTTGAGGCACTATACTACAAGCTGGAAGGTCACAGGATTGAATCCCGATGAGGTCATTGAATTTTTTTAATTTATCTCATCCTTCCAGCTGCACTATGGCCCTGGGGTCGACTCAGCCTCTAACAGAAATGAGTACCAGGAATATTCTTGGGGGTAAAGGGTGGCTGGCGCATAAGGCTGACAACCGCCATCTATGAGCCGATTGTCTAGAAAATGTGGGAACCTCAACATCTCACAACCCTATGGGCCTCCACAGCCTGTTACAGGGATACCTTTACTTTTTATGGTTATCACTAAATGGTACAAGTTTGTAGGAGTGTGACTATTATAGAAACTGCAAGGAGATAATATTGCCTTTAAAATCTCTTACTGGTAATTTCCACTCTTAATGTTTTGTCTCCTCAACGAAAGTTTTACGAAGCAGCAATATTTTAAAAAATCAAGGCTCCACTTTACATTACAAAATAAGTTTGGGAGCCAAGCGCAAATAAGTTGCTGAAGTTGTTAAATTCACCAGATTGAGAGGACCTTTATATGTTACGATAACTCTTCTGTTCCAGATCACAGGGCTTTTTCATGCATGTTAGATACACATTTACAGATACTGTTTTCATTGGTTGCAGTCATCTTTTCCTGTCCTTTTTTCCTCTCCTCAACCAGATATTGTGAGCAATTTTGATGTACCAAATTTCTTTTGAACTATTTTAATTGTGAATATTATTTCAGTGAATACACTTATGAATTTGGAATATATTATTTCATTTTTTAGCTCCAATTATGTTCCAAGTGACTACAAATGTACCAATACAGATATAAGCCAGTGGCTGGTCAGAGATTCAAATAAGTCATTTCCCTCTGGACATGCATCAATGTCTACTTACACAGCAGTCTTCATGATGGTAAGTTTCAGCTTAAGATTAAACATTTCGATGATGCTCAAAAATTGGGTATTTCAATTTTCCATCTCTCTTCTACTTATATAAGAAAGAGAATAACCTGTATATGTTTTCTGAGTTTAAATGATAAAAATGTGTCAGGAATTCGTGTCATATCCCTCTATGAAAAGTGAACTCACATACTTTGTAAAAGATCACAACTGTGGAAAAGATGTTTCCAAAATGTTCTCTTAGGATTATAAGAAATGTCTTAAGTATATTTTTATATAGGCCTCTTAATAAATAAACATATTAATAAATTAATAATTTTAACAATTTTCTGTGGGGCAAATACAACTTAACATCATTCATACTATAATACCTTGAGCTCTGAAATCTGTCTTCCCTGTGTGTCTTTGGAACATGTGAAGAGGAACTTGTCATGCTACATCTTGACACTTTAAGCAAACCATCCCTTAAACTGAACTTATAAGTTACAGTGATGATTTATTACATAATTTGATACAGCACATGACTACACTTTACAGTTCATTATTACACACACACTAGTGTTCATAGTCATGTCTTCACTGCCATTGCTTGGTAGCGGCTTCCAATGGTGGATGTTCCCCTCCATCTGGGTTGCTGAACTGTTCCCAGCCTCAGCTACCATCTTCTAACTGCAACAACTCATGACTGAACCCCAGCAGTTCTTTAACTGCTAATTTGCCCTCATTATAACACCTTGGCACAGATTACATAGAAAATGTCTCTTCCATTATTCCTGTGGTCTCTCACTGCCATGGAAACATGCTTGTTTGCATAGCGGTTACTTATCAATGGCTGTTGTATAGTCGTTTGTTTATGGTTGTTGCCTAACAGTAGGTCTACATGCCACAATATAAAGGAAGCTACAGCACTAAATTGGATAATGGCTGCATTTTTATATCATTTACAGTGGTTCATACAATGCAGAGTCCCTAACAAAGCCACCTTCCTGCTGGTTCCATGGTTGCAGTGTTTTTGCCTAATGTGGGCCATGGTCTGCTCATTCACTCGTATCACAGACCACAGACATCACTGGTGGGATGTTTTAGCTGGTTTCATGCTTGGAGCCATCATGGCCATCTTCACAGTGAGTTTTTCAAATCACATTATACGGAATATTCAAAGTGAAAGGGTCATTTCTGAAACATTCAGTGAATGAGTGTTCAGAAGAAATGTTTACATTTTGCAATCAGTATCTTTAATAATGAAATTATTGTATTAAAATCAAACATCTGTAGTATGAGAATTGATGAACGTGTTTAAACACAGGGTATGTTTCTGTGTACATATACAATTTTATGGCACATGTGAATATATATGCTTTATAGGACTATGACTCCCCTTAACAGGTGCAGATTTTCTGAAAAATTTTATTTCTTGTCAGATAAAATTCTTTGCACAGATACAAGGGAAAGTCAGTAAATAGGTCACAAATGGAAATAAAACAGCTCTAATGTACGTAATAGGTTTTCTATATGTATCACTAGGTAGCAGCACAGTCCAGATGCATGACACTCTAGGTAGAACACACGCATGCGCAAGTTCAGAGGCTGGTTTCAGTAGTCAAAATGATGACCGTGCTTGAGGGGTGAACTACTGAAGAACAGCATTCTGTTGTGCATTTTTTTGTAAGCAAAAGGACTCAATGCAAAGGATATTCACAAAGAAATGTTTCCTGTTTATGGTGGGAAGTGTTTGTCATGTAAAAGAGAACTGAAGGATCATAAACAAATGAACTGAATGGATCCTTCCTTGCAACATCTCTTACAGTATGCAGATGAAGGAGAAGACATGCTGCTATGCTTAATAGGTTGTTACATGGGACGAATCATGGTTGCATTACTATCAACCCGAATCAAAGTGTGCTTCTGTGCAATGGAAACATCCCAGTTCACCTTCTGCAACCAGAAAATTTAAGGTTATGCTATCAGTTGGGACGATTATGCTTACCATGTTTTGGGATTCTCAGGTGGTGCTGTTAGCCCATATTCAGAAGTGTGGTGAAAATGTGAATTCTGTATTGTACTGTGAAGTTCTGATGAAGCGTTGGGACACAATTCGCAGAAAACATCCAGGCCAACTGGCAAGAGGGGTACTACTTCATCATGACAATACCAGACCACATACAATCCAAGCAACTCAGGAGAGAAATCAAGAACTACTGGGGGAACCTTACTTACAGCCCAGATTTGGACCCTAGTGATTTCCATCTGTTTGGTCCCTAAAAAACCACCTTGGTGGCAGATTTTTTCATTGATGATGATCACATATTTTATGTTTTACATCCATTGGTGACCTACTAACTCACCCTTGTACATATAGCCTTTTCCCGTTTCTTTGTAATGGCCTATTTTAGGCCCACAGAATATTTTTCTAGTAAAATTTGTATCTAGTAATTGTTCTTTGTCTTGGAAAAGTAAACTAATTCTTCCAGTTTGTAAAGTACACATCACTTCATCATCCAACTTATATTCAAAGCTACAATAAGCCATTCGGATTCAGCTCTGTGTTCAGGAGAATGACCGCTGTTGCAAATTATAAAGTACTTCTGATTGCTTAACTTCTTTATTCACAGCACTCCCTTTTGAACAGTTAATACCTAAGTGGGGTTGAGCTACTAGTGACATAATTATCAGGGTTAGGAGCCAGGAACTGAAAGACAACAGAAGACAAAGGCAATTTCCTTCACTTAGAAAGTACTGCCTCAGAGAATTTTCTGAATAGGCAACACGTTATTCTGGCAGATTCACATTAGCTGGACGTCTCTGACATGCCTTCTTATAATTACACTATATAATCTGGCAATCCATCTATGTTAGGAGAACTGCAGTGAATTTCTCCTAAGCTGAATTTAACATTATAATTTTAAAGTGAATGTTATAATAGTGTTTCTTAAACGATTTTCTTAAGAAAATAATTGGCAATTAAAGAACTGATTAACCATGATTACCTAGAAATGGTACTAGTAGTGCCAAACTACTACTTTGTAATCATACCACAGTACTGATTTTTTTATAAAACTAGTAATAGATAACAGCTGCTGATACTGACACATAAACCCTGCCCCTACACACACAGCTTTTCCATTTTGAATGCCAGAGAAGTAAACAGCCTCAAACTGTTGGTAATGGTTGGTAATGTTGGTAATTTCACATGTTTATCCAGGTGAAATCCTTCTGTGGAGGTTTCTTCTCTCACCATTCTGGAGCTGTAACTGGAGCAAACAAATATGATGGGTCATTAAAGGAGAATGGGCACGTAGGGACAACCAATGGAGGCAACAGGCACCCATCAGTCCGCCGGCTGCTGTCCTCAACATCAAGCTACACAAACTCCATCACACCAGAGGAGAGGGAGCTACGAGAAGTTGCCATGACATAGCATGAAATATGGAGTCATGGCAATAAGCAGTTGATATAGAAATCTGAATATTCAAGTTATGAGAGTTCTGAGTTAAACTTCTCTGATGTCAGTGGCTATTAAAAGGACAAAACTGTTGTCTGAAGTACAAAGTTAGTCACAAAATGTGAGTGATCCAAGCATAGAAATATTATTTTTTGAGTACCTTTATACTACCAACAGATTCTCTTTTATGCATATTGTATAATATATGTATACATGCACACACAACAGTTAAGTTTCTCAACTGCAAATTATTGCTGTAACTTGGCTGTCACACTTTTACTGCTAGTTGACACATAGATACAATGGTGACAGTAAATATTATCCACCTATATGAATTTGATACTTCAGTTTATGGGAAGAGTTGTCTTCACCATTGGTACAAGTAGGCTTTCTGCATTCACATGTATATTCTGTTTGGAAATCACAGAATGTTTCAACGATTCTGTACTAACTAATTAATCCAGCTGTATCATGAAATTTAGATGTATCAAATAAAATATCTAGAAGTTAATATTTAGCTACTGTAATACTGTTAAGAGTAATACTCTGAAAAAACCTATCCAAACAGTACATGCTGCTGTTTAATTTATCTCATAAGAGGCATTAATAAACAACAGAGTTTATGTTCATGAAAAGATGTGCCCCTTTCATCTAGGGCTGGCCCAATCATTTTTGCCATCCTGTGCAAAAACTGATTTTTAGGTTCTGAATCTATGCACTGTTTCAGCAAAATATCAGTCTGTTCAATTTTTAGTTTATAATCATGTGCAAGAATAGAAAATATGAGGTGAGTGTTTTGTTTGATCAGATTTCTCCTATACTGAATTCATTTCTGAATCATCTAAAAAATTAAAGTTTTTATCAAAGTTCTGGTTTGTCAATTGGGTTTGCTAGCAGACAACCCATGCTTCCTGTTCCACCACTGTGGTTAGATATTTGAGAACTAGGTACATTTATGTGTCAATTTCAATTTATTGTGTCAATACCCTTACATTTATCATTTCATTCTGACACCCCTCATCAGACCGCAAACTCTGCAGTTATGCAAGGATTTTGTCTAATGTGTGAATGACAAACAAAAACTACCATTATAGTGACTATAAGATGCCAGAAACAGTTATCATTGTGATTACACATACTTTCTGCCATGAATGTATGAATGAATGTATAAGGGGTGGGCCTTCTTGGCCCTTACACCGCGACCACAGTGATCTATTGTGCCTTCCATAGTAGCCCATGTTAAAGGCAACCTACTAGGTTACATGGTATGCTCCATGTTGTGTGCAGCCATAACCAAGGAAATAAATTTGCAAACCAGTGAATATTGTGTTGGAGTTTAATTTTGCAGTTGGTGAGTGACCAAAATCATTTTCAAAAGTAGAAATTAGCCGCCCTGTGCAAAATGCAACTTTTGCACCCTCAGTTGGGCTGGCCCTGCTTTCATTACACTGTGTAATTTATTTGTGCTCATAATTTAATTGAATGTTCATATTATCCTGCACAAGAATGAAATGTGGCAGAAGAAAGAACTTAATATATTTCCATGCTGGAAATATGTTGCATAATTAAAACTTTGTTCCTGATGTGTATTAACTTATGAGGCTCCAAGTCTGAAGACATTTGGGTATTAATATGCTTTGTTAAGAAGTAAAATGCAGTTTTTTGTTCCATTGTTAACTCTATTTAGGATATTTAAAATGAACAGAAGGTATAGGTATAATGAATGTCTACTTTATTGCATGGGCTCCATTTCATGAGCTCCTAATAAACAAGATATATTTATATATGCAAGAAAGTCACATGTCTTTCAATTAAATTTACTTTTGTAATCTGATGTTCACACTACTGTGTGGCTTAGCATGCCATGCACTTGTATCATGTCTTTGTTTGTTATGAATTTTAATATGTTACAATGAAACTGAGGGGGCACACGGTAGCATAGCTGGTTGAGGCACTATGCTACAAGCCGGAAGGTAGCGGGATCGAATCCTGATGAGGTGACTGGATTTTTTTCAATTAACCTAATCCTTCCAGCTGCACTATGGCCCTGGGGTCGACTCAGCCTCTAACAAAAATGAGTACCAGGAATATTCTTGGGGGTAAAGGGCGGCTGGCACACAAGGCTGACAACCTTACCGCCATCTATGAGCCGATTGTCTAGAAAATGTGGGAACCTCAACATCTCACAACCCTATGGGCCTTCACGGCCTGTTACAGGGATACCTTTACTTACTTATTTTTACAATGTAACTGTACTGATGATATGGCTGGCCAATGTGTGTGGAATGGCAAGGTATGCAATTGCACAGCATAGAGTTGTTATGGTTGGAAATATGAGGGATTCTGTTCAGGGGCAAATGTGACAGTGGTTTTTCCACAGCCTGTGTGTGTTGACTTGACAACTTGTGCTGTCTGCGTGAGGCCTGATTATATACCTTATTGAACCAAGGATGTATGATGTGTAGTCATCATCGATTTGTAATGTGTGACATGTTTTATATCCAGCCCTATGCGGAGGTGATTGGATCCATGAAGTGAAAATAAATGGAAATGTAACAAACTGCAGGGGGTTTAATTCCATGCTCTTGCTATGAAGTTAAACCTATGGGAGTTTATGGCATCATTACTGTGAAATTTAAATTGAAGATGAGTGTGGAGTATGCAATTAAGATACTAACACAGGACTTACAAGAAATAACAGGTAAATCATGGAAACTTAATAAAATTAAACTGGACCTCAAGAATGTGAATGCACCACATAGAACTAACTTGTTTGGTGTGGAATGTAATGGGAGTTGAATGCTGGCAATGATATTCTGAATTCCAGAAATAAAATTCATTATAAACAGAGAAGCAAATTACTGATTTTAGGCTTTCATGGCGTTTCAGTAGTGATGTAAGACTGGAACAGCAACACTAAATCAGTTTTTGATGTGGAACTATCTAAAATATAAAGCAAAATTTCTTTATACCAGTAATTATGTCTAATATGCTACAGTATACCAGTTTGGAATTATATTTATGTTGGATTGTCAGGCAGTATTTGTGAAGTATTCTTCATGTGAGATGAACATTTTACATCATACAACAACACTATTCCATAACTAATAATTTTTCATTGTTATTCCCATGCATGAATGAATGAATGTTACAAGAATACAGTCCACAGTACCTTGAACTTCTTTTTTTCACTCTTATTGCTAAATGAAGTACAGCAACTTTGGTACTTGTTCAAATAAGATCTGTGGTTATCTATTCAGTTGCTATTAAACACTCTTTATTAGTGAGGTTCTTCATTAGCTTGGTGTGAAACAGTTAACTTTCTAGAATCCAGACAAACTTAAATATCTTTCATACTTAATAAATAATTTATATACAAAATCCAAGACAGGTGGGTGAATAATATGTGTATCTTAGATAGGATGGGGTGGTATGGGCTGGAATGGTCTGGCTCAGGATAGGGACCAGTGGAGGACTCTTGTGAACATGGTAATGAAACTTTGGGTTCCATAAAATGTTGGGAAATTACTGAGTAGCTACACAACTGGCAACTTCTTAAGAAGGGCTCAGCTCCATGGAGTTAGTTTAGTTAATGTAATTATAAAATAATGTAGACTGTATGAGTGAAAATTGTTTTACAAATGTGTCACATTCCAAAATAAAATATTTTACATTTACTGTGATTAAAGTTGTCCCTGTGCTTAATTAATTAAGGACTGTCATGGAGACAAAAGTGTGGTCATTGGATTTTTTTTTTCAATTGACCTAATTCTTCCAGCCACACTATGGCCCTGGGGTTCACTCAGCCTCTAACAGAAATGAGTACCAGGAATTAATTAAATAATTTTCCTGGGGAGTAAAGCGCAGCCAGCGCGTAAGGCTGACAACTTTACCACCATCTTTTAGCCGACTGTCTAGATAATGTGGGACCCTCGACGTCTCACAGCCTTATGGGCCTTCATGGCCTGGTATAGGGATAGCTTTACTTTTCTACTTACTTTTACTGTCATGCAGACATATGGGGGAGTAGAGGTATAGCTCTGCCATTCTTCAACTCAGCATTATATCAAGGTGAGTGGTCAGCTTCATGCCCTGGCTACTTTTCTCCTGGTACCCAATGGGTAGGAGGCTGGGTGGGCCTAAGAACTGGTCTGGATGCTATGGAGAACAGAAAAATCTCTTGATGCTGCCAAGAATCAAACCCTGGCCATCCAGCCCATAGCTATGCCAACTGAGCTATCCTGGCCCCACTGTATAGTGGATTATATCCACCAATATAACTATGTCTGAATTGTTGTTCAGCAAGAAACTCAATGATTTCCAATAGTCATTTGAGTGCATCTTGCCAGTGGTAAGTTGGTAAGTTTGTATGTATGTTCACTATATACTGCTGTGGCTCATAAGCTTTTAAATTACTGCCAATTCTGGCATTCAGTTTTATCCATTTTTCCTTTTACAGAAGTGTATATGCAGTTTTGAGAATTTCTGTGATGTAAATGTTTCTAATTGTTCTTTACAACAACAACAACAATAATAATAATAAACAAAACTGTCAAGTTTAAAAGAGGGTAAGGGTTTCATTACTGAACATGTCTATTTATTTATGCCAATTCTTAGGCAGTGTTTGTTCTTTTGCCAAACAGTTTGGATAAAACTGGATTTGATTTAGTGGATATACAAATATTAAAACTTATGTATTCATCATGATTGCTCACAATATAAGACAATTTTATATTTTCTCAGTACTGACATTACTGCATATATCCTCACCTTGTTCACAAGATGCTGTTACATGGTAATCACAAAAATTGTGATGATTTTCATCTTGGAGCAATATATGTACCAAAGAGATCTTTTTTCAGTGAAGTTCTGTCTCCGTATTTCCAATATTGACTATTTTTATCCTGCTGTCACCTAAAAGTATAATAAAACAATATAGCCAAATACATTTAAAACTATGGTGTGCTATATTCTTACATATAAAGCACAATAAGCTAAAATATGCAGCTGGTACTATGTATCAGTAATACATAGTCTTTAAATGCCTATATAGCACATTCCACTATGGCATGTAATGAGTTGGTACCCACATTATTGCTGCTTACTTACTGAGCAGGCAGATGTAGCAGAAATGCTCCATGACTTAGATCTGGGAAGTACAGGGATGAACTGCATCCATGTTACGAGCCATCTTCATTGGGTTTTTGTGCTTTCTTCAGTCTCCATGCATGTACTGGCAGAGTGCTTTCAAAAAGACTTTCCAAATACATATCAGTTTACCATTTATGTTCACTGTCCCAAGTCATTTGACACTGCAAAATCTGCAGCTAAAAGCCATTAAATGGCCTTTGTATCAAGCAACAATCTGTTCTATGAACTAAAAATGCTTAGGTTATACTTCTTCATATAACAATGACAACTTCCATATACTATAAAATGGCTGGAAAATTGATTCTACAGCTTCTCCCATTGATTACCATTTCATACTCTGCAACTGTGAGGCCTCTAAAATTACAGATTTAATCATATTAACTGCATTAATTGTGGCACTTCTATCCTTCAGACTTGGTAAGAAAAGGTATTGGAAGAATACTTATCCACTTTTCCAAGAAAAGAACTTGTCAGTATGCTTACATTTATATACCATATATGTTCAGAACATGAATTCTTCCACATTAGTATTCCTCACACCACAGCAAACTGTAATGCAATTCCCTGACATAAATTTATTCATGAGTGCCAAATGACTGCAAATTGACAAATCATAGTGAACCAGATTCTGATGATGGAACACCAGTGCCCTTCCCTAACCTTCGTAATTGCAACCAACATTAATCGAGGAGCTGATGACAGAATATGTATGAGTACATACACTACATTTTAAACAGCATATGAAGTTATTACCAGGCCTAAGATGAGGTCCTTAACCTTTGAAGTTGGAAGGTCTAATTGTGACTGAGCAGACAGCACTGGAACCAAGCAATGAGAAGTAGCAATATCATTATTTTACACATAGGATCAAAAGTTATTTACTGTCTTAAGATACAATGCACCAAACATATCATACACACTGTCTGTACTGCAGGCCAGCTCTGATGTCAAGTTGAGCATCTGTGCCTTGTTTAAGTATCACATCAAAACCTGTTTAAGTTTTAACAATTATAATGTCATTTTTGCAGTTGATCCATCATCAGATTTTTATGATCACAGAATGTGGTAACATCTTGATACTCATACAATAAACTTACCATTTCAATCAGACGATATTTAGTACACACAGAAAATTGTTTCTTCATATTAAATTTAGAACACATTATTCTGTACAAGTCACTGAATAATTTCAAGTAGAGATGTTGGATAACTCTGAACTTTAAGCAGTCTTGATAATTCATATCATGACAAATATCTGCAAGCTTTCATCATTTATCCAAGAACAGCATTAGGTATAAAGTTTATTGAGTATTAATGACTAAAAAAAACTGTTCAATAAGACTTGGCAGAAGACCCTGGGTCTCTTCCAAGATGTTACTTGCATAGCTTCCATTCAAACAAAGAGGCACATGTGGACCTCTCACCCAACACAGAATTACTGTCTTTTTTTTACTTTTTTTTCATCGTCCAGTATTCTAAAACAGATAAAACACCATATTTCAGAAATTGGATCTGTTTCTGTCCTTGGGGGGGGGGACACTTAATCAGTTGCACCTCATAGAAAGAGGTAATCTCAATCAATCTTTCTAGGGGGCCCAACTGAGTAGTTCTCACCTGAAGACGGAAACAGATCCAGTTCCTGAAATGTGGTATTTTCTAGAATACCAGACAATGGCAAAAGTTGAAAAAAAAACAGTAATTCTGTGTTATACACCGTTGTCAGAACCCTTTAGAATCTACTTTCACCCAACAGTTTATCTTGTATTAAAAAACTTGCCCATATTGGTTGTGACCTCTTATTCTTTGCATACATATAAAGATATAATATACTATGGTAATGCTGGGGAATTGTTACCTCAGAAATCGTTATCTTCTGATTTCAGAGCCATCTAACAGTTTTCTAATTAAACAACACTTACAAAATGTGCAAGAAATTAAACTAAATGCAATGAAAACTTCAGGTTTATATTAAACTACATATTCACAAAACAGAGTAAATATGCATACATGAAAGATTACTTTTCTTCAGCTTCAAACTAAGTCAATTTTGAAAATAGATATACACAGACAGAAGTCCAATGAAAACTCCCAGGGCTGAATTTATTATAGCCAAATGAAACATGCAGTAGTGGTATTAAGCTTTCGACTTTTGAGACAAGTCTTCCGTGAGAAAAATGCCACTTCATTCAGACACATTTACAGAAGCACATCATGTTACAAAAATGGTAGCCATGAAATACTAATGTGTGTTATTTAAATTATGTGTGAGGCTTGAAGGCAGCTAAGGAGATCATTAAATGCAGAAATGTTTTTGTGAATAACATCATCAGGTTAAACTGTGGCACTGTTACTCATAATAACACAGGATTTGAGGTTTTCTCAGCGGTGGTTATGAAGAGTTCTATCTTCTGGGACATAATAAGAAGTAACCCATTGAAAGTCAACCAACATTTCAGAGGAACATCAGTTAACTTCAGTGCTCTACAAGGCACTACACTCCAGAAGACAGAACTCTTCTTGCTCATAACATCATCCAGGAAAAGTTCTATTTTGCAGGAATGGTTGGACATAATAAATGTAAAAGTTATCTTTTTCAAGGGTTTGGAATTTATGTTCCTTTTTCATATTGTGTTCACCCAGAATGAAATAACAAATACATATATCATGAGATATCCATCTTGTTTCTGTTTCACAAAACCACATTTTCAACATGAGGGATGATAAATGGTACAATATTCTAAGTTAATTATATTTACAAGTCAGGCAACAAACATTCATAGATCTTATTGACATCTATAAAGAACCCTCATTTTGAAATTGGATTACAGGATATTGTACAAGTATATATTCATAATATACATCAACAACAATAATACAGTGTAATGGGATTATTCCTGTATTCCATTCACAGGCATCTTGAAGGCATGATAGTAGTTTCCTAAGACTTTTACATAACTAGAACTGAATGTTGAGTGTGTTAGGATCTCTTACAACACATCTACAAATGTTTAAAATGAACAACAAACACACCACTTTAAGTGTTTAATGTAAAAAAAAAAAGTTCACATTTAAATTCAAAAGCTTCAACACAAGTTATGTTGTAGTAGTGAAGAGAGGAATGAAAACTGTTGTAATATCATAACCACAGTATTATTACAGCAGTATATGATGCTGTTTACTAAATAGGCAAGTAAGCCAGATTAAGGATCTGTAATTGCCAAGTGCACTGAAATATACATCCGTAACAGCATTATCTACTTTTTTCTAATTTTACGTTATATACTGAAGAGAGGGAGAGTGGCCAGATTTTCTGGTAGGAGGAGAAAAGATAGATAAGAAAAAAGCACCCTACTGATTTCTTTGTATTCAATCAGACATATCTACAGCTATAAGTCATATCTCTGGATGAATGAAGGCAAAGAGATAAGACTTAACAGCATTTGCAACAACAATAGATATCACACAAGATAACATTTAAATTGCAATGGTGTGCTTCAAATATGTCTTAACACTATTATGTAAGATACAGCAAGAGAACACAACATTTTCAGATTGGTTTCTTTTGAGGCATTGCATGTTTAGAACTGAAACAGTGAATTTTGTATGAAAGAAAAATATTTTTGCAACAAATCTGTACATACATTTTCAAATTAACTCATGGTTACTTCTAAGACTATTTATGTTTCAAGTAGAACAAACATTTTTAGGGCACAACATCAGATGTTTATACGAAAATTTCAGCAAATGTTTCAGTATGTTATGACATATTTCGAAAGATGTAACTGCTAATATTCTCAATCACTTTTAAGTAGAGCAAATAAGAAACCATTTAAAATAACAGCTCACAATTTGAACATACCAGTTCTACAATGAATATAATTACATTTCACTGTCACACACACACACACAAATAAATATATATATATACAAGGTGTCCCAGGAGGAATGGACCAAACTTCGGGAGGGTGTTCCTTATGTTAAAGTATGCCGATATAACCCACAACACCTATGTCCAAAGTTGAACGGTTACGGAGATAATGGCCCAAGAAAAGTGTGGTCTTCTGGCGGGTCCACGCACTGTACCTGTCAGCTGAGAGGCCTTATCTATGTTTGTCCTTGAGTGCGATGATTCACCCTAGCCATGCTTATGTAGTCAGCTTATACCAGAACATGCAGTCAGCACGTTACGTCAGCACTTGCCATTCATGTGTCATGTATAGTGCTTGGAAACCCTAAGGACAATTATGACATGGCGAGCGAGTATTTTGTACTTCAATTTTATGGCTTCATGTCACTCACAAGTTAGTTTGATGTTATGTACATTCTTAACATTACAGACACCACATATTCCTGCCAGTTTTAATATGTATTTTGTAATCAACAAGTGTGCAATGCCGGTCAAAGTTTGACACTTCTCTGGCCATTATCTCCGTAACCGTTCAACTTTGGACATAGGTGTTTTGGGTTATATCGGCATACTTTAACATAAGGAACACCCTCCCAAAGTTTGGTCCATTCCTCCTGGGACACCCTGTATATTTGATGGGAACACTGTATTACACAGTCATCAACTTTCACAACAAAGTACTTGTTCACTAAATAAGAAACTTTATTAGGTGTTACATGTCTGTATATATGGACTTTCAATAGCTCGGTTGACGAAATACTGACAGACAGTACTGTATAATGTAATGACATAGTAACTCATAGACTTGTGAAAACTGAAATGTGCTGAAATGAAACATATGATGATACCTATAGGAATTGCCATTTTACAAATGACCGCTTGATTAACATTACACTAAAATGTAAAATATTGTTTTAAACAAATTCATTGACACAAATTTTAACAAAATAAATATAAAGGAGTCACACACAAGTTAACCCAAGCACAAATGTTGTTTAAGTGGTGGTGGGGAGGTCAATGTGTGTCTGGATTATTTTTATTTCTTTCTTGCTTCTTCTGAGTTTGGGCACAGGGCACATAGACACATTTTAAATTTCATATCAGTGCAGAGAACGAAAAGTCTAATATTATTGTGTGGGTCACACTTGTAAGGGCCAGTACTTTGTTGTTTAGACTGTGGTCTTCTGGGTTGTGACACCATTTAATCTTGTTGGTGGGTACTAACATTTCAGACGCACATGCTGTCTCCATCTCCACGGTTAAAGATGGACATAGCCTGCTCCTCTGAAATGGCAGGATCTGCCTACAAGGACACTTGGTGTCACAACCCTGACCCAAATGTAAAACAATTACTGTCATGAAAACCTCAAAATGCTGTCTGTTTGGTGCATGTCTGTGTATAAATGGTCTTGTGTGAGAAAAAGTTTGTTTTTAGTCTCAAAATAGCTTTTATTTTTTCTCTTTGTAATAATTATCCCTTAATATGATTTATTTATTAAAATAATCCACTGTGCTATGTTAAAGTGTATTCAGTTGAAAATGATCTCATAATCTACACTCTTCTCTAACTCCCTGTGACAATTTGCCAACATTTTAAGTGGTAGCTGGGCTAGCAGGTAGTCATGAAGGGACAAAATGTCCCAGAAAAAGATACTGCACAAGAACATAACAGTCTTTCCCATTATATACATTTCTTTTCTGGTTTGTGATATCACCAAAAGGCCTTGAGACAGAACTTCAGCAAAACTAACTAAATGTACAATATTTGTATAATTTTATTTCCAGACTGCAATGGTTTGAATGTTGAAGTGTGAAATGGACAAAAATAAAATTACAATGGTATCAGTGAAGTATTACAAAGAAACAATATATGCTGTAAGAAGCTTATGTGGAGAGAAAACGACAAGATTT